TTTCCACCAAAAATAGCTTTACTGAATGAGTTGGAGTGCAGCAGCTCTGCACGCCGCAACGATTGCCAGGCTCCCAAGCCTGGCGTGGCTCCCTCGGAAGCTGCAGAGCCATTTTAGTTCAGAGCAGAAAGGCAGAGCAGAAAGGCCACCTCTGTGGTACCAGCACGTGCGGGGCGGGCCGGACCTGGCAAGCAGCCCATGGGCTGGAGGCCGCTGTGGACAGGAGCCTCTGCCACTCTCTGGGCTGGAGCCTCTTCTCTCTCCTTGGAGCCGCTTTGGTGCCAGGGTCTGTGCAGGAGCAGGGCAGAGCCTAGGAGACCAAGATGGCGCCCACCTTCCTCTGCAGGGCCTTTGGGCCGGGCGGCGGCGGCAGCCAGGCCGTCGGGGCACGCGGAAGCCAGAGCTTTGCGTCAGTGTTTAGGGAACGTACAGTGCAGTGTGGGGGTTTTCTCCTCTTTTTCTTGAAGTAATGCTATTCACTGTAAGAAAGTCTCTAAGATGGATATCAAAAATAACATTAATGAGCTACTAAAGCCAAAATTACAGGAACTTATGAAATTGGTTAAACATAAAAACCATTAAACTGTTTATTGAAGCTTCACAGATATACTGCAGTTAATGAGCATTTCTGCTATTTAAATAAGCCCAAATTGAACACACATTACATGGATACATAATTAGTCATGGCAGTCAAACACACACACTCACTATTAAAGCTTTATTTGAGGAATCTTTTCCATTTGATTTGTTTTGTTAATTAAAATATTTTTTCTGTATTCACTTATATTTTAATATTGTTTTTGCAAGTGCTGTAATTTGCTGCTGCATTTCCATTTGTGTTTATTTGCTCTGAGAAGATGGCAAATGTGGAATATATATTCAGTACTGTCAGTTTTCTTTGTTTTTTTTTTTTTTGTGTTAGCATCACTTGATAGCATTAGAATAATTCAATTGTATGTTGTCTTTCATCCAAAAAGATTATTTCAAATTATACATAATATCAGGATATGGGAGGAGAATGCAGCATAGCCACAGGGTTGTACTTTGAATTTTCAAGAGAAAAGTTGTATTAGTTTTAAACTCTAAAGTATGTGAGAGTGCAGAGTTTGAAAGGGCCTTTTTTGTTTTGTTTTTCTTAGCCTTATACCAAATCATAGACTAATAAAAACACAGATCAATTTCCATATTGTTGAGTGTCAAATGGCTGCAGTTCAGGGAACTGATATTCAGGGTCATCTCCTTGGGGCTCAGATTTGACTCTGAGAATCTCTCACCCTTGAAGGGACAGAAAAGATGCTCAGCTTCATATAGACCCTTGTTCTTTCCCTCTGCCTACAGGCAGTCTGGAAAGAGGTACCTCTCTGCTGCACTGAGTACCAGATCAGACTGTGAGGACTTTAGCAATTCATATAGAAGCTACTTTGAAATCATGCTGTCATTGCTTCTTGTCTAAGCCTTGGAGGTTGTAATAAAGACAGGAGAAAACAGCCTCTGGATGCCATGGTCAGCCTTGCCTCAGGGGAAATGTTCTTTCCGATTGTCAAAACAGAGATGGAGGAAACAAGTTCCAAATCCCTGGGGAGAGGTTTCAAGTGGAGAATGTTGGGTGCTCTTTGCACTCAGAAACCTTTGGGTAGAATTATGGCCGGGCAGCTATTTTAGCACAAAATAATTCTAAGATAATTTTGAGGAGTGTAGTAGGTGCAGGATACAAGAGGTAGTATCTTCTGTTTCCAAATTAAGTAGTAAAAAATTACAGTTTTACATCATTTTGTTTGAAAAACTACATCTGTAGTCTCTCTCTAACACAATTCTTTGGTTCAGTGCTATCTCAGAGAAACAAAAGTCATCTATTAAATTGCCAGTGCCAAATCCTGCAGCACTGAGTTTTCCTCAGGGGGTTTGCAAACATGTCTTTACAAGCCTGTATATATTTAGCTTGTGAGAACTGTCTGGACCACTTGCTGAGATGGTACCACTGCATGTGAGAAGTTATCCTATATATGCCAAATATAAGATGATCAAAAGCCTTCTTGAAGTGCAGACCATCTGAGATACAAAGAGATACTTAATGTATTGATTTATAAATATTACTGGAATGTTCATAGTAAAGCTACTATCAACCAGTATCAGCACTTTTTAACCCTCATTTTCTACATTTAAAAATGTTTCAATCTAAAAGTTGTTCAGTGTGATCTTTCAGTAATTTAAGTATTTTTAAGGGAAACCAGTTCTTCAGTTTTCAATTCTATTACTAGGCAGATATTAATATTGCCAGGTTAAGCCAAAAGTGTGTGCTGAGTTCAGGACATTATGCAAGTAGGTCTCGAAATCAGATGAAGTATTTCTGGTGGTAAAAACAGAATATTCCTGGTGTTAGTTTTCATTATATCTTTTCTAAACATTGATACCTAACTTAGAGTTTTAAAATACTAACTTCTAGTTCAGCTGCTGCTGTGTCTGTGAATTTTAGGAGCACTGTTGATTTGGATTCTAGGTCTATACCATCTTCTGCTATTCTGGATTCTGTACCAGTTGCAAAAACCTCTTTCCACTTGAGTGCTGGGTTTATTTGTATGTCCACAGTGAGACTGGGAGCACAAGTAGGACAAGCAGGTGCCAGTGTCTACCTTTCTTCCCATTTATTGTTTTGATGCTGATTCTTCCCAGCCAGTGGATTTCTCCACTTTGAAATACCCTTGTAATGTTTGATTTGAAGATGAAGGGAAATACAGAGCCTGGGAAAAAAAAAATAATTGTAATGATATGCACGAAAAGTGTTTGAAGCTCGCTCTATGCTTGAGCATGCGCTGGGGCAATACTGGGAGTTTGCCCTCGTGCTGGTGTGGGAGATGTATCCTTGTCTTGGGCTAGCAGGTTGCTCTTTTACATATGTGACAGCACAACTACATCAGTTTAATTGACCTTGGCAATCTGCATCTGCTAGTGGTATGTCCCCAGGGGACACTGCAGTAGTAAGCTGCATTGTATTGTGGAATCTTCTGATCCTGTGTAGTAAAAGCTATATTAATAACAAATAAGTAAATAATAATAATAAACCACCAGAAACTCATTTTGATGCATTGCATGAAGATTTGCTTTTTTTAAAAAAAATCTTATTGTCAAGCGGTATAAAATGTCGTGACTATAAAGGTAATGTTAAAGTTAAAAAGTAAACAGAGCAAAATTTTGCGTGATAAAAGTCATATTAGCATAACAGTAAAAATACTTTTTTTTCTGAGCAATTTATTTGTATTTATTCCTATTTATTTCTATGCCATATTTTTTTTTTTAAAAAAAAATTACATTCTTTGTGAAGACAGTTTTAGTTCATGTACATAGTGCTTATATGTGTTGTTTTCTAGTATGAAAAAGTGAAGATCTGTTAAGGAATGTTTTACAAGAATTTAGAAACTTCAGTGAAGTAGAAAAGATGCTGTGTTCATGCAAGCATTTCATTTTGATTATCGGCTCTTTCTGTGCTTATATATTATAATATAGTATATGCTATATTTTTACATATATATATTTTATTGTTATGTACGTATATATATTAGTATAGGCAACAAGTCTCAAAGTGAGCCTTCAGGACATTCAGAGTTTAAATATTAAACAGAATGTTTTTGACTGACAGGAATCTTTTTCAGAATTACTTTTCGTTAAAACCAGCCTACTTTGTTGAAATCAAAATTGTGTTAGCATAACATCTCCCGGTGGGGTTATGTTACATCTGAAAAATTTCAATCAGCTTTAATAATTCCATGTCAGAAAGTAGCAAAGTATAATTTTTGTTGTGGGGGTTAATAGGTGCAGGAAGTAAATCTAGTGATCTAAATGAATTTCAAGAAATTGTGACAGAAATATTCCTTTTCTGCTTTTAACTTCAGAAGTATGCTGTGTATTAAGAATCACAAGAGTTCATGATAGCTTACTTGAGAAAAGCCCTTTGATATTGTAAGTGCAGTGCAAAGCTGTGGGTGGAAAGAAATTATTGTTTCCCTGTTTGTACTGCTCAGTAAGAGGCTTTTCAGAATTGTTCACCATTAACTGGGCTTCTCCCCTGGCCAATGAACAGTCCCACGGAAAATGACTTTGTGATTTCCAGTTTCTGGGATATGCAGTTTGTTCTCAGAGAGTGACCAAAAGATCATTAAAAACAGTTATTTCTTGTGCCTGTGCCAACACAGACACTTCTTGTGACATTTGGGTACATTTATTTTGTACACAAGCCTGGGTTTGCAGACACATATGAATTGGTTACCTCTCTGCTATTGCTGAAAAGCCATTTCATGTAATAGATGTTCTTTGAGTCCTGTTAGTCTTTACATACCTTTATTAGCTCTAACGTGTCTCTAAAAGAATTTTTAATTTCTTCTGTAAATTCACGTTTAAGTGAAATGACTGGAACTGCTTTCTAATTGTTAATCAGTGTATATCTGACAGATTTTAGAAATAGTTTTTTCTATATTGTATTATTTTTTTTTCTTTCACTTTAATTACAGTCAAAGAAGCCCTGATGCCTGTCAAGTTTAATAGATGGGGTCTCCCTGAAGTCCATCCAGAAACGATGCAAACAAGTGAGCCCTGGGTGTTTGCAGGGGGGGACATTGGTGGCCTTGCTAACACTACAGTGGAATCAGTAAACGATGGAAAACAAGCTTCCTGGTACATGCACAGATACATACAGGTGATTTTATTTTCCTCTTTCCAGTTTATGTATTTTAAGATACTTTTTTCATGATTATTAAAATAAATGTTATTGGTTTTTACATAAAGTGTACATGTTTTAAGCAGCTAATATCTAGATTATCTGGTAATTTGTATTTTACAGTTTCATTCAACTGAAAAACTAAAATTCTGTGCATAGAAATGCACTCGTGATGTCAGATAGCTAAGCCCAGCTTCTGTTATCTTAGCCTTGTTTAAATCTCAACAATATATTCTGGCCCCCAACTCTGAGTTCCAGTCAAGGGTAGCAACGGTCCTGTACAATGTGGTGCCAGTAGAAATCCTAAGTGGATAGTTGGGACGAGGGAGGGAACAGCTTGTTACTTTTTATATTCATATTTTTTAATATTAAAATCTCTCAATAATGTATAGAGTAAAATTAAGTACTACCAGGGTTCTTACAAAAAGGCATTTATTAGCATGTTAGTCTATTTAGTGCAAGCATGCATTATAGAACGCTTACAACTGTTACATCAAAACTCAAGGTTCTCTGATGAAGCTGATGAGCTGCACTTAAGCCAAGCCAAAAAAAAAAAAAAAAAAAGCAGTGTATGGACACAGGAAGTGTTTACTTGAGAAATATCCATTTAAGGGATGCAGACTGGAACAATCTGGCACCTGTGTTTTCCCGTTTTGTCCCCTGGCACCTGGCTGGCTGAGCTGCCACCTCTGCTTGCCCTAACTTTTGTAGTATGAGAACGAGCACAGAGTAAATGTAGAGGAGAAGCAGCAAAGCTGCCAGAGACACAGGGCGGTGTGTGGAGAACCAGCTGATAAAGAATGTGTTTGTAGTGCAAGGAACTTTTTAGAGACGTGATACATGATTCATTCTTCCACTGAAAGAGATTTGAACAACTGAAGTTGGGACTGTAACAGCTCAATGTCTTTCTCCCCCATCCATCTGCTCAAAACCTCTCTGATTGCATGTTTGTGCAGTTTCATGCTGTTGAGGTCTGATTTCATGTCCTAAAAATACTTCAACTGAAAGCTTGTTGTTAGTATCCGTGCATATTTTTCTCACTTATTTTAAAGCACTGTTTGTGTCCTGCCTTCTTAGACCCTATAAAAATGCTGAGTGTGAAACATCTTTAATCCCTGACCTGCTTTCTTAATTTCGCAGTGCACAGTGAAGCTGCTGACTCTGATGGGGAGAGAAGGGGCGTCTCCTCCTTTTTGCCTCCTTCCTCTTCAATCTCTAAAACATATAAATCACTTTTATAAAACCTCCTTTATAATGTTGCTTCCTCCTCAAAGGTGGCTTCTCTCCCCCCCGCCTTTGGAATGTATTGAATACTTTGGAAGAAATCTGAATAGTCATGGCTTGAGAATTAGAATTTTAAATCAAGGAGGCTTGATACTCAAGTATATCCGTTACCCTTTGCAGGTTTCAAGGCAGCTTATTCGACCTTACAGTCTCACCAGGAAGCTAATGGGAAAGCCTCACAGCAATCTTTGCAGGAAAGTTTCCAAATGTCAAGTGTCACCTTTCCAGCTGTTAGATGAATGGGTAGCCAAGGGGCATTTATTTGGATGTGCAGCCCTTGTAAAATCTGGTTGCTGTGGTGGAGAGCACTGTAATTTGGCAATTTACCAGCGTTTGGATCCAGTAGAGATTTTTGTGACCACATGAAAGTTTGATTTTTAAAGTTGTGACTTAAGAGAAAGAGCACTTTACTATGATATATGTAGTGCAGCGTATTTGGGGATGGCTGCCCCGTGTGCACGTGTATGTGTGTTCATTCCACAGACTTGTATTGGGAAAGCTTTGGTTAGCAAATGAAAAAAAACTCGTGCACTTTTTTCTCTACTGCACAATTCCAAGACAAGCTTATTGCTATCTGAGCGTTTGAATCAAATACGTGTTAGATGTAGTTAAGTATGCCGATTCCATCCAAGCACTGTGGAGCCCAGAACTGGATACAATACTCCAGATGTGGCCTCACCAGGGCTGAGTAGAGGGGCAGCAGGGGCCTGGAACATCTGCCCTGTGAGGAGAGGCTGAGGGAGCTGGGCCTGTTCAGCCTGGAGAAGAGAAGGCTGAGAGGGGACCTGATCAGTGCCTGTCAGTACCTCAAGGGAGGCAGTGAGGAGGATGGTGCTGGCCTCTTTTCCCTGGTAGCCACTGACAGAACTAGAGGTAAAGGCCACAAACTGAAGCATCAAAAGTTCCACAGGAACTTAAGGAAAAATTTCTTGACCGTGAGGGTGACAGAGCACTGGAACAGGCTGCCCAGAGAGGTTGTGGAGTCTCCTTCTCTGGAGATCTTCAAAACCTGCTTGGATGCAGTCCTGTGCCATGTGCTCTAGGTGACCCTGCGTGTACAGGGGAGTTGGACTAGATGATCTCTAGAGGTCCCTTCTAACCTTAAGCATTCTATGATTCTGTTTTATCTATAGAAACAGGTACCCATTTCTAAAATCACTAGCTGCCTTAGCATTGCTAGTTATAAATAATGTGGTCAGTCTTCGCACAATAAAATCAGTCCATAATATTTCTCAACCAGCCCAAGACCGTGTCAAAAACTAAAATTCAAAATCACTATCCCAGCTACTTGCTTCTCGTATTTCAACCTGCTCCAGACAAAAAGCTAAGCAAACAGATGGGTTTGATATGTGCCCTGGAACTCCAGTCATTTCAAGTTCTGGCATGTGGTCAAGCAAAGCATGAGATCCAAACTCAAGGACTCTCCAGCAGAAATGCCTTATGTTCAAAAATGGCAATTATTTTCAGAAGCTTCTTGGCTGCTCTTACTTTGGAAAATTTCCATCATTAGTTGCCTAAATATCTCCTAACTCTTAACATTTTCCTCCTGCTCTGCGAAGCATGGGTTCATCTCAGATATTGTTGCCTGCAGCTGAGTGTCAGGTTAATTTCTATAAACTCGACCAGTCAAAGCTTAACCAAGGACAGACTAGTAGAACTTATTTCCAAGCACAATCAGTCCTCCTGGAACAGTTCTTTGCAAGGATATAGAGGTTCAAGCAGAATCAAACCAATTTGTGCAGCTGTCTGCTATTCAGAGAGTGTTTCAGGATTCAATCTTTTTTTTTTTTATCATTCCATAAAATTGTGAGGATTTCTTTAAACTAATCTTCATCATTTATTTAGCTTGAGGACTGTAGTGGCCGTCATCTTTGTCCAACATTGATGTTATGATATTGGGCAGAAGAATATAGGCTACTCTTCTGTGTTGTGCCTCACCACCCATCAAGTATGGGAAGCCATTTCTTTGATCAGTGAATGGGATTTAATAATGGATTGTGGTATTCAGGATAACTCACAATTACTACAGCACTAACATCTAATTTCCCATGCCTGCCTTTGAGAGCAAAGACAGCTCTCACATCACCAATCTTCCTTTTTTCTTTGTGGACAGCTGAGCAAACCTCAAAGCTTCATTCCTGCCCTTTCAATATTTGCACCTGTGGAATGTGTCTCTGTTCTCTGGCAGCCAGGCTGCTGATGTCTTCTCTCACAGTCCCTCTTAGGAAGGCACTTTTCTCTCTTGGTTACAGTAAGACTTCTGACTTGTTTTGTTACTGTGATCTCTCCAGCATTTCTTCTCGACTTAACTGTACATGATGACCTTAAAGAATATAGGGCTGGATCCTCAAATGACAGAGCACTTCACTAAGATGTCATGCAGTATGACTTCTGTGAACATCACTGCATGACTTTGAAACATTTTTGTATGGTTTATTGTTTTTTTCTTTAATTTATGCTTTCAGTACATGCAGTTTGTATCTTAAGAGTATGATTGCTGATTATTTTATAAAGGCTGACCGTTTTTCTGTATTCTTCCTGATGTGCATTAATGTACATTATTTTATAATCAGTAGCAGAGATGGGTGGTTCCCAGGAAGCTTGTCTTTGAAGCTGTTAGTTATGGTTGTCTGATTCTTTTCAGGATAACTGAAGGAAAAATTGAATGCCCTTTGTTTAGCGTGAGCAACATGAGACACTAGCATGGAGACCGGTAATAAAACACCATTTTCAAGGTGGCCTGAATGCAATTTAGGAAACCTGGAATTTTAGTTGTTTACTGCTGAGAAGGCAACAGTCCTGTTCCTGTTCTTGGTTGGATAACCAAGAAGGAAGTTAGAACATCTCCACAACGGTGCTGTGAGACAGACAGCTTAGAGGCCAAACCGCTAACTGGAGAGTGGTCTTGCCACTGTGAACTATTAAATTGTCTCCTATTAGATTTCTACTGTGCCTAGGAAAACATGGGTCTCTATAGGTTTCTGCAAGGAAAAATAATAGTAATAAAACTGCTCACTTTTATAGTCCTATGTCTGTTAAAGGCATCAAAACAAAGTTGGACCATATTGTTGTGGTCAAATGTTTTACGTAAAGAAAATGAAAGTCACAAATTGCATCGAGTTTCAAGCTCAGTTCCTGTCTCAGGCCTGTGCCAGAAGCAGCTTTTGCTGTAGGAGCGTCCTGGGTAGCGCAAGGCTGGGGGTTCTCACCCCCCGCAGTGCCCAGAGAACGGTGGTGACTGGATGTCACCTGCAATGCTGCTAGCTCAGCTGGTTGGCACCAAAGCAGAGGAGGAATGGGCCATACTTCTTGTTTTCTGTTTTTAAAAATCAAGAGAAGAGTTATTATAAATAAACTCTTGCCTGCAGGCTTTCTTTCCCTGTTTGTTTGTGCAATGTCAGAAAAATCCTTCATTATAAACATTATTTTGCTTTTAGGAACCTATCAAACATTTGAGTTTGTTGAAAGAGCTTTGCTCTGTAGAAAACAACACATCAGGGCTTAGTAAATTTATTTCCCTTATAAGCATTGTGCTGAAAGGATAAACTAGCAAAAAATAGATAGAGCAAATAGGGAAGCGATATAAAGGAGAAAGATAAATCTGCGAGGAAATACAACCACTGGCTATTGAACCCTCAGGTGCATCTTCAGTTTGTTTATAAAGACTTGGTTTATTCTCTGGAAATCTCTGATTTTTTTCTCCTTTCCCTACCCCCTCCATCCTTAGCAAGTCTTCAAGATCGGCCTCCCTGGGTCTAGGCTCGGGTGGGCAGGCAACGTGGAGTGAGGCGCTGGAGACGCCTTGCGGGGTGGTGGCAAACACAAAGGGGTTTTGGCATGGGTAGATTGTTGTTCTTGTGTGTATTCAATTATTAGCATGTAAAAAAATTCTCAAAATTTAGGCTAGCGTCATTCAACTGCTTTCAGGCCTTTCACAGTATCAGAGAAGTTGGCTCCAAAACATATCCTCTCTGTGCAAGGAACCAGAGAGCTGAGGCCTTGAGCTGAGAAGTGAACCCATGCAGGCCTGCCCAGGGAAAAGCAAGTGAACTCTTGCATTCTAAACCAGTCTGGTAATCAAAAGGCATTAAAAACAGCAACAAAAACATCCTCATCCCCTCCACAGTCATTCGTTTTCCAAGATAAAATGGAGTAAATACATTCTTAAAACCAGAAGATGGCAATGGAAGTGACTGAATTTTTTCTCTGCTGTGGAA